CTTGATTAAATTCTTATATAGTTCAATAATAAATATACTGGGTACTTTCTTTATTACATTTTAAAGCAGTCTTTTGTGGTTTTGTGTAAATTTCTGTGGAATTAAATATTATTTTTTGTTTAATATTTTAAATGTAATATGATAATCTCAAGATATTAAAACTGAAACCTTATTTATTTAATGAACTTGTATATAAGCGTACTACATGCACACCAACAAACCCCCTTTCATGTGTACTATTTTCAGTCTATCAGAGAAAAATGTTCTGGTTGCTTCATTGAAAAAAAAAAAAAAGTACAAAAGATGCACACATCCTTACATGCACTTGTTGAGGGCACACACAGATTATTCACTATTTCTGTTATCAAAGGAGCTTCACATTGCAAATCCTCCATTTACAAATCACCAAACCTCAGCTTTACTTAATCTTGTCATGTTGTCACATTTGACTAGCCAAGCGAACTGACCTAGAACTGTAAGCACCGGGAAGGCAAGCTGTCAAAGAGATAATGACAAAGATGCCAAAAAGGGCTGCCAGTGTTTTCACTGGGCGAGAAAAAGGAATTAATCAAACTTCATGAAAGAAGAACAGAGAATAATCAAAGTGTTTACTGATTTTTATCAACTGATCCAATAGCTGAACAACCATCAAGATCAGTAAAAGCTGTAACAAATGGAATTTCATATAAGCCACCATTTACAGCAGCAGTAAACGCAAGTTTAAACTGCCAACATAAAGGACACATGAATTTATAGAAGAAGTTTAATACTGTGCATTAGTACAACATTTTAGTCTTTCCAGAGCAAAAACTTCATTATCTGCCATTTTTCACAGGGAAAGGCAGTACAGCCTTAGATAAATACTAGCACAAAGACCTTACAGATGCTCCTTCATCTTTATTTTTTATTTTATCTGATTAGTGGTAGAGCATAAAATAATAATAAAAGCATGTCACAGAAAATGGTTATTTTCCCAGTCAAATTGCTTCATGAAATGAAGTTAAACCCATAGGCAGCAATACTAAAAGGGAAGAACCTCTCACCACTAGGCATACGTCTTCAAAAAGGCTGAAGGAAATACCTCTGAAACTGTATTCTTCCAAAACAGTTTGGATTATACGTACTTCTCAGAAATTCCATTGAAAGAATTTAATCTGATCAATATCTCCTACCAGACATGTGAATAAGTCAATGAGATGTACACAAGCATATATGGCAAAGTTTTGACCAGCTACAATTATTTATGTACCGTAGCAGAGGTATGACACAACAGGAACCTTAATCATTCTAAGCACTTTGTCAAATATTAATTTGCTTTTCAATAAGTATCTCCATATTTGCTATCATTTAATGAATTAAATTTGTGGTAGTGTTACTGTTGACAGGTTAATGATAGTACACAGGAAAATTGTAATGACTTGAGTAATTGCATTGGTTAAAAATTGCCAATATTTTGTATTTCAATAGTACAAACTCCAATGTTTGCTTCTTTAAGCTGCCTGCTTTTATGAAACATTTTTCCTAGAGTTATAAAAATAAACCTTTCAGAATGTTTAATCTGTTTTGGAGACTGTATCTTTCTCCAAATGGAGGTCAATAACTTAATCTTAGACTGTCAACTTCTAAAGCTTTATAATGCATTGCTTTTGCACACACACAAACACACACACACACTCCCACCTCCTGGGGATGATTCTGCTCAAATATGTAAATAAATACAGTCACAATTGGACAGATGTTATATCAACTTCCACCACACTTCATTCCGAATTCAGGTTTATATATACACTTGCCTCTCTGTTATTTCAAAATCATAAACTGCATATACTCTTGGGAGAAAAATAATACCAGGCACGCAACCGCACTGGATTTTTTTGTTTATAGATGGAAGTTGGATAACAGTTAAAAATTGGAGGATGAAAGAGAGAGTGATATAAATATAGAATAATGATCCTGCCCCATATTTACACAAAAATTATAAAATGTAGTATGCAGGTACATCCTAGAATGTACTTGGAAAAGACACTACAAAATATTTTTTGCTTTACAAACTATGAATTTTGATCTTACAAAACCTAAAAGAAAAAAATATATTGAGTACTGGTTTGAAAAAATCATTAAAAATGCTAAAGTTTTCGAATTAACAATGTTCTGTAAATAACATGTAAATAAACCATGGGTTTATTCTGGGTCTGATTCTGATTTATTAGGAGCCTGGTAGGGCAAGATGCCCATTGCCCTCATCAGCCAGGAACCTCAGGATTAATTCTCCCCTAACATACCCATTGTCAGAGATTTGCTAGAGAAAAGTCTTCAGACATTCTTGTTAAAATTCCATCATCAAACTGATAGGACAAACTCTGTTCTAGTTCAGGCCTGTTTGCACACTCTTTAATCATGCCTGCCAGAGAAGATCTATCCCAGAAGCACAGAACTTCTCTTCTGAAGAGTAATTATTTTTAGCCTCAGAATGCACTCGATGCAGTCAAGAGTGAAATCTTTTTAAATTTCCCATGGAAGGATCCCTCTGTCAGATACTTGAATAGCTTTTCTTTATATAATGTGCATGCAAGATCACATACACACACATACATAGAAATGTGTATACGGACACTCTATCTGCTCATTAGCACATTTATTTATTCAAGATTACTTTATTCCCAAACCAAAAAAGCTATCATGTGGCTGAGGGCTAAGTATCCTCTGGCAGGTATGATAAAGTTTTAGGAAGAGAACAGTGAATATTACCAGCAGAATCACTCAAGAGCTCGCATTTCCATTTGATGATAAAGTTCCAACCAAAAGTTTGCTTGTTATATTATTATTATTTGAAATCTACAGACACACACATTCTTTACAGGAAAACAATACAAACATACATGTACTCACATTTCAAACATTAAGCATATTATCAGTATCTTCACTTTATATCAATTTTACAAACACAGTTGAATTACTGTAATCGAGTTTAAGAGCACTAAAAAAAGCACTATAAGATTGTACTGTAAGTGTTTTGCATGCATCTGAAAAAACACAGGAAGGTTAGCTCCAGTTCTAAAACTTTATGTATCTCTATATATGCTCCATGTATTTCAACATAAAGCACCAGATAATAAATTAGTTGAAAATCAACTTAGAGATTTGAAAGAACAAATGCAACTTTGGCAACTTGTACCATAGGAATATGGGCCAGAGAATTGTTTTTTTATAAAGCCCAAAGTCCTTTAAATTCTATGACTAAAACTGTGTACACAAGAAACAGAAGGCACAGGCTTTCAGTAGCTTTCTCCTTCAGATCATATTACAAAAAAGGCACCTACAGTCACCGGTGATGGATAAGTTTATCATATGGCCAAAAACATACCTAACAAAAATACCTTATTGTGGATTCAATTCAACAGATGTAATCAACTGGTAAACTGAAAAGTTTTAATAACTGTATACAGAGATTCATTTTCTTCTGTGTAAGGTTCACTGAATTTACTGATAAATACGAGCACTATATTTTCAAGTGGAATTCCAAAGTAGTGATATATGGAATATGTATAGTATAGTCTTTGACTCTTAAATTGTGCATGAATTGAGGGGGGGAAATGTCTTTCTGAGAGAAATCATTATTGCTTAGAAGGGCGCATTCTGCAAAACAGGAAATTGTTTGCAGGACAAGAACAATATCAAAGACCTCTTGAGTCAATCTCAAGAATTCCAAGTTAAAAAATTGCTGAAATAATTATATTTTTTCTTACTTAGCAAGGCCTAGATTTGTAAATTGGTAGCCTCCCTACTACAGCTCACTCTAGTCCAAAGCTGAGCAGGAAGCACAAGTGAAATAATGAAAGCCAAAATCCAAGTTAGTGAGATGAAGAAAGTGTCAGATGTTGACTTCTCAAAATGTATTCTCTTAATGATTTAGGACTTTGAAAAATCTATGTTAAATCAGGTTTTATTACAGAAGAACTTTTCAGATTACCACCAAAAATGCTATGGCTACCATACAGATTATTACAATTTTAGCATATTTTGACTTTCGCTGTGATCTTCTTTTTCATAAATAAATAAATAAATGTTCTTTATTTGTTTCTATGTAGGTCACTATGGCATAAACAAAAAACACTTCCCCTTTATTTCTGCTAATGTAAAACTCTATAAATAAACACTTCTTAATACCAACATTCTGTGTCACACTATATACCTTTTCATCCTCCAATATAAGCAGCTTCTATGAACTCAGGAGATTGTTTGCATAACAATATTGGTAGAATATGTCCCGGCACTATTTATTTTGGCTTTACATTTCTTATGTAGTGATATAATACCATCCTTACCTGAATTAAGACTAAGATTGTTCAAACTCTATCGCTTAAAAGAGACAAAATCCCTTGACATATTCAATATATTTATAAATTACCATTACCTTTAAAAAGCATCGTTCATCCTTCTGTACCCGTGGTTTACAACATGGTAGTATATTAGCAAAGCAGCTAAGACTTTTTACTTACTAGAGAGCGATCCTCTGAAGACGCAGACCCTCTCTCCCACTATCTTATCCATAGGATAGACTTTGTGAGTGCTTTAGGGTCTGCAGTACCCTTGTGGGCAATATTTGCCCCCAAAGAGTTGAAAAGAACATCATTAAATCTATAGCACTTACAATGTCCTACATACATCTAAGTCTTTTTTTCATTAGCGCTGTTTGTTTTGGCTTTTTGAAAGTCACAGTCTTGATTGTACTGCACAGTAAGTTTTTATTAGAAGGTTTAACATATCCTTACTTACTAGGCCATATGATATTTAAACTGGAAATAAAACACCAAAGTCAGCAAAATAACCTAACGTCTGTTATATGGCAGAACCTATAGGCCGAAGTTGTAAATTAATCAAACTATTCCAAAGATTTCTACTATGGACTTTCCTATGCTTTCTCTTACGATTAAATGCAGCATGTGAAAAAGGATATTGAGACCTGGATGGATGCATCAAGAAGTATCAATGATTGTTACCTGCAGAGGTGTTACAAGAAATTTCATCTGCTGCAACGAAGACGAATTGATTTCTGCAAGAGAAGATAAAATTCACAATACTGCTTGCTGACTGGGAAATGTGCTAGCTGCCAATTGACTTGATGTTTACAGATGGGGTAGGGTAAGGGTGCTTAGTTTTAATGAATGTAGCAAGAAAAAGTGTTGACGTATTTCAGTACTATAGAGTTTATAAGGATCATGAGGTAGACATGCTGGGATCTTTTAAATGAAATAATGGTGACATTTGGATATGGACTATGTACAAACTCTTGCATTGGAAGCTTCATGTTTAGTGTTACAGATATGTCAATATATTTATGAAGTCTATTAAAAATAAAACAATATTTATATTGATATAGGTATTAAAGGGCACTACTGCAAAATATGTAAAAAGCATTTTTTGAAAAAAAAAATTGCAATTTACTTTGTGCATCTGAAAGGAGGATATTGAAAGTAAAATATTTTGCTTTTTATATGTCTAATATGATTGCAATCAGAAAATGAATTTTCTGCAGTTTATTAAAAAATGACATAGTATATTCTCATATACTGTCATCCAAATACATAGAAAAGTCTTTTGCAGAATCTTAGGAGAATAAACTAGAGATATGAGTAATTTAATATAAACCTTCTCTTGCAAAATTCTTTTTTAAACCAGTTAACATAAAAAGAAAAACGCTAAATACACTAATATTCTGAAATGCAGAAAACTTCATTACAGCACAAATCCTGATTTGTCCTTTCCAAAGTCAAATCAAACAGGATTTGGGTTAGTGGAAACCATGTTTAAGGATTAACATCAAATGATTCCTTTATATGCATATACACAGCTTCCTTGAGTTCTTTGTGTTGTGTGGGATTAATAAAGAACCTGGGTGAAGTTTTAATGCTTGGGTGCTCTTTTACTCCAAATTGCATGTAGCTCCTCCAGTTTGCACTGCTAGGCATGGCCAAAAACTGAGGTACGTTTTGCGCAGCTTTAATGCAAGAGTCTACTAAATAGGAGCTAGAAGGAACTTGTTCTAGCTTGTACTAAGGACTACCTGGAAAACTTACTTCTGCAAGATGGTGAAAGCTCTGTCAAGCATTAAGTACTCTGAAGATCCTACTGAAAACTGTTCGGTCCAGGAGCAAACATCTCTTAGGGGTAACAGAAACTCAAAGAGCTAAGCCCTAAGAGAACAAAACCTATTTCTATTACTTCACCTCCAACGTATTAAAGACATTTGAAATTGTCATTTAGAAATCCGTGAACCTTGTTACTTAGAAGTTCACATTTTGGGGAAAAAACAAAACAAGGAATTGGTAATCCATACTATAGGGACAGAATTGTCTATGATCCAAAGTAGTATCTGGTCATTGCCTCTGCCTTCTCTCATGCCTTTTCGCATGAATGAACTTAGTTACCAAACTGTTTATTCTTTCATTTCCAATAGGATGTACAGATTGGTAGTTTTGCTCTTTATTTTGTCATCTGCATCAATTTCACAAACTAATGAGATCTACCTTGCATGTAATGCTAAAGAGATGAATTTAAAAATATGACGGGGGATAAATTTAACATTATAAATACAGAGCTACTCTGTATTTCATACATAGTATAATTTGTCACCGTATTTAATGCTATCATCTCTTTTATTATAACCTCTTGTGATAATTGTGGAGAAAGAAACAGGTAGATGTTTGCCTAAAAGGGATTCAGCCAGTAGCAATGCAGACTTACCAGCTACTGTTTTTCAGAAAATCCTTTTGATTCATTTCTATGAAGTTATTAAACTGCCCTCTCATCTAAATGAAAAGATCTTTTTTCCTTAAAAACGGCCTCTAAAGTGGCTAGCTGAGAAACTCCTTTCTTTATTCAGAACATTTGTTCTTATGCAACACTGAGCCACAGATCCTCTATCTTCAGATGCCAAAGTATAGAATTATCTGTAAGAATAATATGCTGGTTTAGTCACTTACAGAAAGACCCCAGAACACTAACTGCTATGGGTCTTTTGGAATGACAGATGTTATTGAAACTGTTCTGAAATCTTACTTGTATTATCAACTCTTTACTAATTACTGGTAGAAAATTAATTTTAAACAATTTAACCCAAAGTAATACCTATTTAAAAACCATCTACCATAAACATTTCTTGTTATACTGCTTCAAGTTACATAAGGAAGATACTATTTCCCCTGCGTTTTGCTTTTGTAAAATTTTTTTCAAAACTACACAAATCAACTTTAAAAGCAAGGAGCAAGTTACATATTGGTCAGCACAGCAACTGTGAGGATGAAAAGTAAGACCATGAAAAGTAAGATGTTGTAGTTCAATAAGCCAGTTCAATTTTTTATAACTAATTAGATGTTATTTGTAACAATTGCAAGAAATTGTTTAGTACTTTGATGGCTTTAATGTTTTTTATAGCGTCAAGTTTTTATTTAGTTAAATTCTATACTATCGTTCACCTAGACCTAGAGGGACAACTGATAATCAGAGGTGTCGCCATACACATATATCTCACCTGATGTCCAAAGCAAGTCCCTTGGTGTGGACAAACCCATAGTTTGCAAAAGGAGTCCTTCTGAGCTAAGCTGACACTGTGGTGCATCATATTCTATCTGTTTTAAAGTAGAGGAAAAGCAGACCTGGAACAGGGCAGCTAACCTACCTCAGTCCTTTGCAAATGTAGGGTTGTTCTCTTTAAAGACTAATTTTATGCACTAAGAATATTGAGCGTGCAAGGCTTAAAAAACTTACAAGTAAGGTATGGTGAAAATTCATGATGCATTTTAGGTTGTTTTAATGTTCCTCATCACTGCCACACTTTTTATTGATTCAAAAAGGTACAAGAAATGTAAGTGGACCTAACTTTATTACACAATAAGCCTTCCTCAATTATTAAGATACAGAATTGCTTCCATAATTTAATTTGTGTATTAACAGAGAAAGTATAGAACAAAATTTTTACTGCTTATTGTTTTATACTTCAGATGTAAAAGAACACACATTTAATGCCCAGAGAACTTTTTTTTTTTTAATAAAATTTCAAAAGTTTGTTACTGGTTGTAAGGGAGATTAACAGAAAAACAAATTGAGAGTAACATGGCAAATACATTGAACTGAACGTACAGTTGGATATATTCAACTTGCCAGATATTCACACCCTGGGCTAAGTGCAATCCTTTTAAGTGCTGAAGTGGCACCCTTTTCCAGCCTGAGCTCTCTGATGGAAATCCAGACAGTGCAGTTCATGAAATACTTCTAGGACTCAAAATGGCTGTGTACCATCTGAGCAGCTATTTCCAAGGGCAAACACTTCTGCCTACTATTACTTCCCTCAAGCCTATATATCAATTCCTCATTTCTTCTAGTAAATTGAAAACTACCACAGTTTTTTACCACCACAGTATTAAAGATATTTTTGAAGTTGGAAAAAACCAACATTTAAACACCTGATATATTTCCTGAATTCTGACAGAAACAGAAGGGGAGGACAGCAAAGGTAGTTGTTATTATATACAAATATTAAGTGACTTAGACGCTCTTTCTTACTTTGAGGTACTTATTGAACCTTCATTACCCCAATTTTCAAGAAAGTTCAAACAAGTCCTAAATTCCTCTGCTCCGTTCCCCACAGACCCTTTGGCAGACTCCTAACAAATATCTTCCTCGAAGGCCCCAGGTCTGACATAAAGCTCCCTATCAGCTTCAGCACCTGCTGTTTCTACGCAGTGGATCTTTTGCATATGCAGTGAATGACATGAGGTGCTTGCTTTCTGTCTCCTTGATCTCCTTGATGCTGTCAATTTGGTGAAAACAGGCCATACTATAGCATAAAACTGGAATTTGTACTTTTTTTTTTTTTTTTTTTTAATTTTTAATCACTAGAGCCCAAGCCTTAATTTCACTACGGCTGTTTAATATATAGAACTACTTCCGTGAAGAAACCCCACATGGGAATTTTTGCTTCCTGCTAAACTGTCCTAGAAAGAAGCAATCTGTGGTAGAATGCAGAATAGCTTTAGGAGAGAAGTTTTCACTACCTTCTGTCAACATTTCCATCTTTGCATCTTTTTTGACAGGGTAGCTTCCAAAAATAAAAAAAAAAAGAAAAAAGAAAAAAAGATTTTCTACATGCATCTTTCTGTACTGCATTTTTTATTATATGAGACCTTTAATTACAAGATTCTTGATGAGCAACATTAGGGCTCATGCCCTCAGGAATGACTTTCAGTCATTATTAAACTAAAAATCTGTATTTAGACAGGGACAGGGCTTGCACTATAAAACCAACTATTGTCTGAAAGATTTTCTGATGCATGAGTGGGCAGGAAAAGTCCAGCTGTCAGAATCAAAACCATACTCTGCAGCATCAGACTTCAAAGAGCATATTTTCAGGTTCAACTTTATCACCTGTCTAGAAGTACCCTAAATTAAAGCAGGCCACTGAACTGAAAGACTCAGATAATAAAGCGTTGAAACAAAACATTTAAGCAAGTGAAGAACAGGAATTTAAGTGAAGCTTCACTAAGGTTTTTCATTATATACACTATTGAGTGAAAAATATTACTAATTACAAATGAATTCAGTAAATGTTATGTACTCACAGAAATTAGGGCTTCTGGACTGTCAAATTTTTAATTTTTTTTTTTTTTTAAATACCATAATCTATTTTCTTCATGTTTATACTACCAGATGTTAATTAAGAGGCCTAAGATATTTCATAAATAAATTTTGTCAGTACTTTCCCTTACCAAGATGTTGCATCTACCCATTTTTCAAGAAGAGCTGTCTCTTACAGTCTTGCTTCTTGCAAGTCACCTTAACTGTGCTGAAGAAACTTCCATACATCCATCCTAAAGCATACTGACCTAATACAGAAGCTACATACAGATCAACACTGAATTTAAGCTTAGGTAAGGCTATATATATGAAATTTAGTAGAAACACGTCAACAATTTGAAATTACTATGTAGCATTTTTAGCTTTTATTTCTGCTGAAATCTTTTCTGTAAGCATGTTTAAATAGTATGGACTTTCTTT